CAGATCCCCACCCGGGAATTCCCGGCGCTCCCCCAGCACTTGGGTGGGGCTGGGCCGGGAGGAGCCGCCCTAAAGAGTTGTTTTTCCTGGTTTTAAGTCTTTTTTTGTTTGTTTGTTTTTTCCCCCCCTCTCCTTTTCCTTCTCAACTTTGGTTTGTCACCACTGCAGTGGGGTGCAGCCAGGGGAAACCGAGGCACGGGAGGGGTTTGGCTACAGTTGAAGCCACCGCGTTTTTCCTACCGTGGGCCGGCATTTCCTCATCCTCGAACTTTCCTCCCTGGATATTCCTTATCGGTGAAAATCTCTCCCCGATATCGTTATTTTCCTGGTCCTGGGGGAAGAAACAAACCCAAACAACCCAACAGCGTTTGATGACACGGCTGTTAGGAGGGGACAGCCGGCGCTGCTGGGCACCACACACACCTATTTTTTGCGGGATCTTGATAAAATGGTTTGCGGAGATGCCGGGATGGGAAAACGGCTGCTCTATTAGTAACCAGGGGGCTGAGGAAGTGCCAGGTTTTTGTGTAAGGAAGCCTCAATTGCTAAAAACGGGCTAAAAGAGACAAAATTCTTGTGTCCTGAAGCCTGAATTGCTGGAAATGGGCAGAAAAGAAACAAATTTTTATGTAGTGAGGCATAAATTGCTGAAAACAGGCCAAAAAGAAACAAAATTTTTGTGAACCGAAGCCTAAATTACTGAAAACGGGCCAAAAAGAAACAGAATTTTTGTGAACCGAAGCCTAAATTGCCAGAAATAGATGGAAAAGAAACAAAATTTCATATACCAAAACATGAATTGATGAAAATAGGCAAAAAAAAAAAATTTTACTCCGTGGGGAATCAAAAAGCCAAATTGGGGAACAGGCGTGAATATCCCAGAGGTGGATGTCAGCGGAGACGTTAAAAATATTCAAGGATCACCTCTTCCTCGCTCGGGATCCATCCCAACCAGGCAGAAACACCCGGAGATCTACGCGGATGAACAAGGAGCTCCTGGACCGATTCAAACACAAGGAGGAATCCTGCGGAGGATGGAAGCAAGGACAGGGATCTTGGGAGGAATGCAGGGATATTGTCCGAGAAGCCAAGCCCTGGTGGAATTAAATCCAACCAGGGACGTTGAGGGCGACAAGAAAAGGTTCTATAGGTACGTCGGTGATGAAAGGAAGACCAGGGAAGATGGAGGCACTCAACGGGAGACCTCGTTAGCCAGGGTATGGCCAAGGTTGAGGTACTCGATGGCTTTTTGGCCTCAATCTTCACCGGTAAGCGCTCCTGCGGCAACGCCTGGCGACGGCAGGGACTTGGAGAATGAAGAACTGTCTGTTGCAGGTCAGGTTCAAGACCATCGAAGGAACCTGGAGGTGCACAGGTCCGCGGGACCTGAGGAGATGCATCTGCGGGACCTGAGGGAGGTGGTGGATGAAGTTGCGAAGCCACTCTCCATCAAATTGGACAAGTCGTGGCAGTCCAGCGATGTTCCCACCGACTGGAAAAGGCACGTGGAAAATAAGGTGACGGGTGACAGCCAGTGGGACTTCGCTAAGGGCAAGCTGTGCCTGACAGATTTGGTGGCCTTCTACGCCGCAGTTACAGCGTTGGTGGGTAAGGGAAGAGCGACCGACGTCGTCTACCTGGACCTGTGCAAAGCGTTTGACACCGTCCTACATGACAACCTCATCGCTGCATCGGAGAGACATGGATTTGACGGGTGGATCGCTTGGTGGATGAAGAATTGGCTGGACAGTCGCGCTCAAAGTGTCACTTCTAGTCCCTAAGAAGCTAAAACGAAGCCTAATGTGGGGCACAGGTTGAGTTTAAGTCCTCAAATCTTCTCCTGAAGCACCTCCGGCTTTTATCCTGTGACAAAACATCTCATTTTCCCTGTTTCTCTCTTTACCGACAGTCTCATTTCACAGAACACCTGGATTATTCTTGGGTTTTAATGAGTTTTTAGTGACAGTACTGGCATGAAATGCTAATTAGCAGCAGCTAATGGGGCATGTCTCGACACGCAGCACTAATTGGGAGGCGAAATGCTTTCAGTTAAAGCCTTAAATCACCAGGGATGTGCCCGTCAGGCTGGGAAGAGACGGGGCCGGGGGGGATGCACCATGTGGATGAACACCAGTGAAAACATACGTAAATAAGTCATCAAGGGTTTTCTCTTGGTTTTTCTCCCTTTCCAAACTGTTTTCCACCCCTGTTGCATCACTACTGCAGGGAATCGGGCAAGCTGCTAACTCTCCCATCTTCTGAGGAGGTTTACTCAGTCATCCATGTTGGAAAATGCCAGGAAAAGGGATTTTTAAGGATTTCTCTGATCAAAAAAAACCCCTATTCTCTGAGCGTTTGGGGTCCGCTGACCCTTTCCCAGGCTGCTCTGGCAGCAAATAACCTTTTTTGAGTTGTGGGTTTTGTTTTTTTTTTCTCCAGAGCACAAAGGGAAAGGGCGCTACCCACAGCCCTGAGCTTTCCCAGCGTTCACCGGCCCCGGCTTCGGCGCGCGCGGTGATCACAGGCAGCCTTTATCCCAGCCCAGTGGGGCGCTGGTTTTTCGGCCGGAGCCCAGACTGGGGAAGAGAGGGAATGTGGTTGAGAAATCGGGGTGAGGGAGAGCAATTGCTGTTTGGTGCTGGTAGAAAATGTTGAACCAAAGCTGCCGCACTGGGCAGGAGGGGACACCGTCCTTTTCGCTGCCTGCTCATCCCTGTCAGCATCATCCCATGTCCTAACCTGAAAAATATTAAATATTTCCGAGCGATGAGAGGCTTCTTTTTCCTACAAATTCACTTTTTTTTCATGATTTCAGTGCTTTTTCGCAACTAACCCATGAGTGTCTGTGGTTCCCCAGCGCGGTGCAAGGGGAGCTGAGGGGGGTGGCTTCAAGCACTGGCGTTCCTCTGAATCCCGATCTCCGTGAAGAAGCGTTTCCCTCGATCCCCCTCTCACCGTGTACAGCAACGGCGCAGCCACCGCCTCTGCAGGCTGTCATTACGCCGCCTGCTTTAATCCGCCTGGGATTAACAAAGCTGAATTCTGCCTCGTCAGGATTTTTCCCTGGCTGAAGCTTCTGGGAACTGGATTACCGGGCGACCATGTTCCTCCCAGGGTCGTGTTCCTGATGCTGACGGCACCACCGGCATCTCGTCCCTGCTTCGTTTCAAGCTGTTTTGGTGATCTGCTGCTGCTCCATGCTGTTGTCAACCGAACGTGACCTTGGGAGCATCTCCGGCTGTAGCAGCGTGTACGTGGGTCTCCGTTCACAGGCGGGGAGATGTAATGGTGTTTCTCAGCACCAAGAAAAGGGAATTGGGGGGGAGGGAAGGGAATAAAGTGAGCAGCGTAGGCGGGATGAGACCACAGATGTGGTTTCAGCAGCACTTTCTAACGATAACGATGGTGGATCAGGTGGTTGAAGGTGAACATGGGATTTTCCATCCCTCTGTGTACTATTTTTATATTTTTAAGGACAAATTTAAAGGGTAGAGGTCAGGTGTGGTTCAGGGAAGGGGCAGGACAATTCAACAGCCCTCCACAGTCTCGGTGGGACTGCACCGCCTTGCAGCCGTGACACTTGAGATCCCGAAGAGCCAACGCCCGCTGACTGATGGGGCGTTTTAACACCGCCAGGCGCGCAGCTCCTCCTGTAATTGAAATGCCAGCCCTTGGGGAGGTCACCCAGCTCGATTCATCCAGCGTCAGCCGCAGACTGGTTCTTTGCCGGCTCTTTGGCACCAGCTGGGGTGGCGGGTTTCAGACAGAAAGCACCTGATGTGGTGGTCGGAGCTGTAAAACACAGGGAGTGACTGTTTCCCAACGCCCAGCTGAGCTTTTGAGTTGTTCATCGGTGGCAGCTGACGGAAAACCACAACCGGGGAATTGCTCGTGACCTCTTGCTGGGACGGTTCGACAGGGGGGGTTCATTTGAGGAGCAGGGTTTGGCCACAGTGGTTTCACCATTAGCTCTTGCTTTCCAGGTGCAGCTGTGCTGGGTGGTGTGTTACAAACAGCGTAGAACGGGCTGGAAGCTGTTATGGGTGGTGGCTCAGCACGCCGGACAAATGCAGCTCTAAATCACTTATAAACTCTGCCTTGTACTTGCAGTCGATGGCGGATCGGATACGGTTTAACAGAAACACGGAGATTTCTTTTTAATAGAAACAATGGGATTTCTTTTTTCCCCCACAAAATTAGTGAGAAAGGATATAATTCCAGACCTTTCCACTCACCGATTTTAAAAAGTAACGCTCAGGTGGCCTGAAACCTGTTTCATCCTTTTTTCTGTCCCACCAAGGCATCTTCTGAGCTTGTACATAACATTATCACAAAAAATGCCCATTTTTGCCTTATTCTTCCCCACAGCTGAAAAATTACGCCTAGAACTGAACACATAAACTGTCAGAGTTGAATGAATATGACTAAAGCAGGGGGTTGGGTTTTTTTTAACCAACTTCCTTCCCCCTCCTGCCTTAATCTTTATTAATTTTTATTTTAGCTTGTTGTTGGGTGGGGCTGGATTATGCATGGCCAAGAGGAGAGGGAATTGAAATGAAACAAATCTCTTTTGGGCTAGAAAACCCATTTTCCAACGCTGTGCTCTCCCAACCTTTAACTCTGGCCCCCCGACTCCCCTATAAAAATCCTCTTGGATTTCCAGCTATGACCCTGTTCCTGATTTTTCTCCCACTTGAAACAAATGTTGAGGAGAGGCCCCTGAGTGCCTGGATTTAATTACCTGAGTTGTTTTGCTATCGATAACGCAGCCAACGAACTTTAGATAGAGAAATGGAGAACGTCTGGAATTAATTTCCTGGGACGTGTTGACGTTGAGGATCTCCATGCTACATGTTATAACTTGCTTTTAAGCTTTTTTCCTTTTTTTGTTTGGTGGGTTTTTTTTAATTTTGCAGATTATTTTTAAAGCCAGCGCCGCTGAGGTCTAGGAAGACGATCGTCTCTTGAAATCGCGTGGAAGAGCTTTACTCTTCGGCACGATGTCCACCAAGGTGCCGATCTACCTGAAAAGGGGCAGCAGGAAGGGGAAGAAGGAGAAGCTCCGTGACATCCTCTCCTCTGACATGATCAGTCCACCCTTGGGGGACTTCAGGCACACAATTCACATCGGTAGCGGCGGGGAGAGCGACATGTTTGGGGACATCTCCTTTCTTCAAGGCAAGTTTCATCTCCTCCCAAGGACTGAAGGCAGCTTTGACTCTGACAAGGACAGCCCCGATGCAGTGCCGTTTGAATTCTCCAGGACAGCCACCATCTCCGGCCGTGAGCAACCGTCCTCAGAGACTTCATCTCCTCTCCTCAAAAACGCCATCTCCTTGCCCGTCATCGGGGGGCTGCAGGCATTGATGTTGCCCTCGGCGCAAGCTCCCCCGAAACCGCCACGCTTGCACCTCGATGACAAAACCCCGCCGGCACGAAGCTGGGAAGGTGGAGAGGACGATGAGGGTGGGAGCGCCACCCCGTTGCCGCATCCTTGCGCATCATGTATCACCACCCCGACGAACGGCTTCACTGAGGAGAAGGGCAATGCTGAGTCACCCTTCCTCTCCCATGCCGGCTCCCTCCTCTCCCTCCACGTGGACTTGGGGCCATCCATTTTGGAGGACGTCCTGCAAGTGATGGAGAAACATCAAGCAGAGAGAGTGGGTGGATCTATACAGGACTCGGGCAGGCAGGAAATCTTGACGTGAAGACAACTCAAGGTAAAGATGTTGAGAAATGGATTATCATTATTATTATTTTGGGGTGGGTTTTTTGTTGGTGGTTTTTGTTTTTTTTTTTTACGTTGCTCTTAAATTACAGCTCAAACTCTCAAGTTTGACTCCACACATCTTCCCTTATCGCTGCGCTGACCACAATGCGTTGTTTCCTCTTGCAGAACCCGTCATGCAAACGGGATATGAGCGTTTATCCTCAGTGCCACTCCCCGCAGACCTTCTGGCTATTCCCTTGGCACGGGGAGAAAAAAAAAAACAAAACCAACACCCTACGAAGCCAAGACGAAACAGGCAGCACCATGCTGCCGGATTATATCGCCGCTTGCCCGTATCAGCTTCACCTTTAGCAAAGGATCGAACCATAGGACTGTGCCAACTGGTAGAAAATAAGACACCGTGCCGTTACAAATGTTCGTTGTACTGAACGGGGTGAAACAGCGATGATTGAATTCTCAAATGTCCCAGTCGGGAGGAGTTTTGGGGTTTCAGAGGGTTGTTTGGGGTTTTTTTTTTTGCTTCAAGAAGGGATGCAGTTTGCACTCAATCAAGGCAAAGGTGTGACGCTCACTGAATTGTCAAGATGATGTCAAATGTCAGCCTTTGACTTGATTTAATTTTTTAAGGATCCCATAAATCGGTAAATCTAGTGGTTACATGGTAAAAGGCTCCGTTGGGATTTAACGTTGCGTGGTCTCTAAAAGCTCTCTGTGGACAAGCTAAAAAACCCTCTCGGGCTGTATTTTGGCAACTAAATCTGTGGCTGGAGCTTGGGGTTGGAATTCGAAGTCGTAAATAAGATGCAAAAATGCAAAAAAAAAAAAGTTAAGTGAAGGGTGAGTGACCACCCGACCAGATTCCTGCATGATGGGGTGAAATTCATTCTCCCAAAAGACACCGTCTCTATCAATCGCAGATTGTTTGGATGGACGGAGGAAGGAGGGGGTGAAATGCTTTGGCACGCAGAAAGGAATGCGAATCCCTTCTGCTTTTTAAAAAAAAAAAATAATAAAAAAAAGTTTCACTGGAAATGCCAATTCTGCTGACGTCGGGGCGAAAGACCTTGGCTGCGAGGGTTTTCATTCTCTTTCCCGATCTGTGAATCGAGGACAAGAGAAGCCTGTTGGACGCAGTAATGGTGTAAAAGCAAGTGGGACCTTGTTTCCTAGATGCTGTCATTAATTAACTGCATCATTTTTAACCATTTCTGGTAGTTTTAGCCCAGAATGAGGCTAGGAGTCCCCCCTAATAAGGAATTAAGTCAGTGAAAAACACACTGACTTTTTGCTGGCTTGCTAGAACCTGACTCTCTATTTTTTTACATCATTGATTGCTGTTTCATACAGGTACCGTTAAATAATGAGTCATTAGACTAATGAGCTCGTAGCTTGTTGCCACTCAATTGTGTCCCAGCTCTTGCTTACTCTTGCCCATCTGCATCCAGCAGGGCACTCCTACTGTAAGATCAAACCACTCTGTTTTGGTGGAAACACCAAAGGTTTGGAGTTAAACCAATTTTTTCAAGCCTTCAGTATGCAAAATAATTAAGAAAATGAAGTTAATTGAGCTAGATCCAGGCAGTCGCTGGGTTTAATTTCTATTTGACTTTATGCTGTGATGGTTCAATCCTTACCTGGTCTGAACTGACGATGCTTCCTCCAAACACCCATCCACTTGGCGACAACTCGTTTTTATTTATTTTAGGATTTTTCTTACCAGAAATAATTCCAGCGATTGGATGGGGGCAGTTTAGAGCATTGTTTGTAATTAATTCACCCTGGTAATGGCATATTTTGATGGGAGATGTGGCTCAATTGGTTTCCCAATCCCCTCTTCGCTTACTAACACACTGCAGCTGCTGTTTGGTCAAACAATTTGAAGGGAAAAAATCCTGGAATGGATAATTTTGGGTGGTTTTCAGAGCACTTCGCTTGTTTGTTTTTATGTGGCCCAACAATCTCAGGTGGGTTACGACAACAAGGCAGTGCTTGTTTTCATGGATTTCACCTTAATTAGTAAATTAAATTGAGCTGGGAATGAAGATGTTTGAGTTTATACCCCCCAACTCTGCGTAATTATCGTCAGCAATTACAAAACCTCACCGAGAATCACCACCGGATCTGGGCAATGCTGGGCAGCAGCTTCCCCATGTTTTGAAATAACACCACGGAAGCAACGGCCAAACCCTCTTTTTTTCCTTCATTTTTGCTCCTTCCACTTATTACAAGCCAGGTGATGGAGTTGGGGGTGTTAACAGCTTTAATTTGGCACCTCACTTCCCTCTTGACGGCTCCCAGCTGCATCTGAGTGGATCCATCCTTCCCCGATCGTCCTGCTCTGCTCCAGTGCTGGAATTGTGGAGCCTTCCTGAGCCAACAGCTCAACTCTGGTAACTGGAAGAAAAACGGGAGCTGCTATTACAGGGGGTAAATGGAAACAATGCTTTAATTTGATGGATTTTGGTGGGTTTTTACTGTGAAAAGGTCATGTTCTGTGTCTGCAGCACACCTCCTCCCTCCACCTCTCTGATTATATTTGATATAAACCCCCTGAAATTATCCCGATTTTATTCTTTTTTTTTCTCCCCAGGCATGGTCTCATCTCCTTAGCTGTGAAAAACACCCATTTCCTTAATTAATTTTTATCTATTAGCAATAAAAATCATTTGGGATCTCCCCTCCTCTGGGGTTTCTACGCAGGACAGGGGCTTCCTTCATCCCCTCCCTTTGTTAGGTCCCTAATTAATCACTCCTCAAATTGCCGATTTATGCAAACAGCTGTTGCTAAACCCTGGGATTTTTTAATACCCTCTCCTAAGAAGTGTGAGTCACTCAGGCAGGAACACTGTTCCCTGCTGTGACTCAGCCAGCATGTGCCGAATCAGTCTCTTTCCCCCTTGGTTTTTTTTGGGGAGGTTTAAGGCAAAATAAGTCAGCAAAGAGTATGATTATTTCAAATTGCCGATTTATGCAAACAGCTGTTGCTAAACCCTGGGATTTTTTAATACCCTCTCCTAAGAAGTGTGAGTCACTCAGGCAGGAACACTGTTCCCTGCTGTGACTCAGCCAGCATGTGCCGAATCAGTCTCTTTCCCCCTTGGTTTTTTTTGGGGAGGTTTAAGGCAAAATAAGTCAGCAAAGAGTATGATTATTTCGGGGGGCTGACGCTCGGCTGTTGACAGTTCTACCTAACCTGCAACTTCTTCATTATCCCAAGATTTCCGGGCAGCAGATTAACACCGCAATAAACTCGGCAAACGCCCACGCCGACATTCGGCATTTGACCCCTTCCCAACCCTGCCGTGAGTTCAGTGCAGCTGACCGTGCTGCGACACCTGTAACCGGAAAGTCATGAACCATTAATCACAATGACAGTGTGTTGATTTTCATTGACGGGGTAGGAAAATAAAGCGGCTGCGTGCACGCAAATAACAGCCGGTGCAGGATTAAGGGGAGGAGAAAGGGCAGAGAGAAAGGTTTAACCTTAGGTATAACTGAGAAAACCAGTTTGTCAGCACATGGAAGGGAAAAAAAAAACCACATAGAAAGTGGAAGTAAGAAGGAAAAGAGAGAGAGAGGAAATGACCTGTTTTTGGACAAACCACGCCTGCCATGGGGTAATGTGGGCAATCTTGTGTCTGCCTGCAGGATCAATTCTGAGATCTCTGGTTAATTTGGGGTTGATAAAAATGGGAAAAGGGCTAAAAAATTTAAATTTTCTGCATGAATTTCTAAAGAAAAAGAGGCTGGGGTGGGGTGGTTTTGGGACATGGCTGTTGTGGCAGCACCGGCAACGAAA